TTACGTATGCCTTGGGATAGTGTATATTGATAGCTACTTTGTAAAACAATTTGAAATTATCTAATACTACTAAACATGCATATATCCCATGAGTCAGTAATTCCACTGTTTCTATTCCCTACAGAAATTTCCTTAAAAAACAATGCAAATGTTCATAATATAAAATTTGATAAATTTATGTAATGGGATACCATGTAACAGTAAAAACAATAAACTATGGGCATATGCAGCAACGTGGATGAGTCTTAGGAATTTAGTATTGTGCATAAACAGAAGAACTATTAGACATGGAGTCCGAAAATACTCAACTTAATAATATATCGTTCACAAAGACAAATACCAAATGATTTCCCTCATTTGTGGAGTATAATAATGAAGCAAAACTGAAGAAACAAAACAGCAGCAGACTCACAGACTCCAAGAAGGGACTAATGGTTACCAAAGGGGAGGGGTGGGGGAGGGAGAAGGGGATTGTGGGGTATCATGACTGGTGCACATGGTGTGTGCAGGGTCACAGGGAAGCTGTGTAGCTCAGAGAAGACAAATAGGGACTCTAGCATCTTACAGCTCTGATGGACAGTGACTGCAATGGGGTATGGGGTCTCAATAATGAGGGTGAATTTAATAACCACATTGTTTTTTCTGTGAAACCTTCATAAGAGCGTATATCAATGATACCTAAATAAAAAAAGGGAGAAAAAAAGTTTGGTTACACTGTTGACAATAACAAAAGATGAGATAAGGTCGTGCCTGTGTATTTTCAAAGTGCTATCTATCAATTCACAGTGGGAAAACAAAGCCAAGAAAAACCACTAATTGCAGAAAACCCCACCACAGTCAAAAGTGATACAAATGCATATAGGGTAAAAGGGTGACAGAGAGGGAAGGAGGGGCGTACATTTTCAGTTGACACTCAGCGCGACTGCAACAAAAGGACTTAGGCCAGAAGCCACACAGAGTTAGATTCTGCGAACTTTTAAATTAGAGAACCAACTGATTCTGATTTTCAATGTCAACTAGTCTTTGTTGATAGACAAGAGTAACATAAGGGGTCATTATCACAGTACTTTTAACTAAGAGAGTGAAAGTAATTCCCTGGGCTGGACTTTATTTTGGAAGGAGACAGTTCTCTTAGAAGAAAAGGCTATTTTGCCCTGGATGCTTGGGCAACAGGTCAGGCCGGAGCACTGTGATCCTGCACTCCTACATACACACACGTAACCAGGGACCACCAAGGGCACTGAGCAGTGCAAGGCTCCTTATCAGAACTAAGTGCAGCCTGGTTCCATCAGATTACTTAAGGAAAATAATAATTGTCTTTAAAAATGCTTATTAACTGGGTCCGGGTGAGGAGGACTGCTCCAAAGTTGCATGTTATTTTCATCACTAGTCACAATAAACCTCTAAAAAAAACCAAAAAACTGGAAGGAGGTGGAAACATAAAATTATTAGGCCATAATTTTCATTAGCTACACAAGATCTCCAAATACTGTACCCTTAGGGAAATAACTACAAGCGCCCGTCACAAAGAAGCATAAACCCACCAGAATTAGGAAATGAAGAAAGAAGGGAGCAAAACAGATCAGCTCTTCTAACACAAAGGGGAAGATAGAAAGGTGACGAGGAAAAGCAAGAATTTATATTAAAAAACATGGACCAGAAGATAAGACCCCGGGATCTAGTCATACAACCTTGGGCAAGCTACCTAACTGCTTAGTCTAGACACGCAACAGAATGAAGGCGATACGCAGCCTGCCTATCGCATGGGGCTTCTCTGCAGGTCCAACAGGGTACTGTATGTCAGAGCACTTTGAAAATTATAAAACACAATACAAATGTAAGTAATGGTATTGTTACTCACGTTGTCCCTCACTTCCCAAAGAAAAACAAGTATATGCCAGCTTCAACTTAAACTTCAAATCATTTTCTTTCCTGTCAGTTAATATCACAACTGCTGATCCTTCTGCCCTCTTAAAAAAAAAAAAAAAACTAGCAAAAATGAAATGAATCCCTGATCTCATCACAGCTTTCTAAAGAGAAATTCCTTTACATCTGTTATTTTTTTTCTAATATTCAAGAGACCCAACTAAAAGGCTCTTCTGTAGTCTTACCTTTTGAAGCTGTAGTCGTTAAAGGCCAGGAAGATGAAAGCATCAGATATTGGAAATAAATGGAAGAAAGAAAAAGAATTAATAACACTTTGTTACTGTAGACAGTCGCTCAACTATCTGACCTATAAAGACTCTGCTCAACCCTTGTCAGTTAAATGTAGATGCAGTCTGGAGACGGCATCTTAAGGCCATGCGAAAGTCCATTCAAGAGTATCATCAAAATGGGCCCAGAATGAGCTTCTTGCCACCTTTATCTCATAGTACCAACAAATTATAGTGACAAAAAACACCTACATGCAAAAACACTGGGGAAGAGAAAACTACCTACATGCTGTGCAGTTCTCTTTCTCAACCCCAGCATCCCCAGGATACAAAAATACCTTACTCTCTTCCACGTGGGAAAGCCACCTCTCTCCAACCGTCCCCAGGGCAGGGAGGGAAAGGCACGGGAACCCCACCTAGAGAGGACCCCACGTCCTGCGGGGCCCTTTGCACGGAAGAGGAAGGTACTCACCCTTGGTCTGGGCAGAGAAGGTCTGGGTAAGTTTGGCGAAAAGTTCATTGTTCTCGAAGCGGTCCTCCTTGACCTTTGTCCAGAAGCAGTTCTGGGACAGGTCGTCAGCAACAAACTGTGGATACAGGCAGCATGTTAAGAGTCACTAAGCTAAGCTCAGTACTTTTCATCCTAAAAAAGTGACTAAGACATAAAAGATGGCTGGCTGGTATCAGTACTGTCACCCTAAGCCTAACACAGACTTGTAAGACTACCTGAGACACAGGGGGTACCTGTGCTCTCTGTGATCAGGAGGTGATGCTTCCAGCTTGTTTGTTTACTGGTGATAATTTGAGAACCAGATTTGGTTATGATACTTATCCCTCCTCTTAACCTTAAATCCTCTAGTTTTAGAAGCAGTAAAATCTTTATTTCACATCTTCTCTTGCTCTACGTTGTATTTTCCCCATCTATTTGGCTAACTATGACAAATGCATTCGTTTTATGAACAAATCCCTAAGCTCCTTTATTTAAATTTGGTTTCTGGAAGCAAAAGGCTGATGCAGAACCGTAGGAGTCCCAGACACAGTGGGAACAATACACACCATGCACACATATCCTGTGTTACTCATTCACCTGCAGGGTAGTGGGAGTGGGGTGCATTCATAAATCTATGAGTTTTGGATCAGCACAACTACCAGGAGTTGCAGATTGGTGAAATGACTACTGTCAAGCCGTGTGTTACCATGGTACTACTATCTTCACAAAAAAGGACAAAAAATTTAACTTAAAGGTCAGTTCTGGTTTTGCAACAGAGTAAACTCTCCAAAGCGATGTTCTGAGGACATAGGAGATGCCTAGTATCTGCTGAATAAACATAAGCAGGAACGGAACCTGAAGACAGGTATGAGCCATAAGACAGGGAAGGCTACCTACCCATGCACAAAACACAGTGGAGGAAACTGAAGGGGCTTCTTAAGACCTTAAGACAGAAATTCTCACCTTGGACCAGTTTGGCCTCCGGAGCTGTACCTCTGGCTTATAAAGCTTCTTTGGGGTTAAACCATATGGCAGAACTGGTACTGCAGGAACTCCAAATCCAAAAGGGGGAGGCGGGGGGATGCCAGGGCCTCCAGGAAACGGAGGGGGTGGAGGGATTCCAGGACCACCAGGAAGAGGGGGAGGGGGAGG